TCATATCAACATTGTGATTGGGTGACTGATTTTTAGAGAAACTCCATGGGGGACACCGTCAAATTTGGAAGTTTCAGATTACAAGTAGTCCTTGATTTGCAACAGTTTATTTAGTGAATAAGTTGAAGTTACAATGGCACTGAAAAAAGTGACTTATTGCTGTTTTTCATATCATTGCAGCATCTCCATGGTCAGGAGATCAAAATATGGACACTTGGCAACTGGTTGATATTTATGATGGTTGCAGTGTCCCAAGCAGGGGGAGGTCATGTGATCCGCTTTTGTGACCTTCTGATCATCAAAGTCAATAGGAAGCCAGATTCACTTAACAACTGTGTTGTTTCACCTTAACAACTGCAGTGATTTACTTAACAACTGTGGCAAGAAAGGTTGTAAAATGAGGCAAATCTCACTTAACAAATATTTTACTTAACAACAGAAATTTTGGGATCAGTCGTAGTCGTAAGTCAAGGACTACCTGTATGGCTCTCTCTTCTACAACTGCTGATTTGAAGCTCTGAAAAGGCGAGAAAGAAATATATCTTCCACTTGGCCTTTTCTTCCTTGCAGCTCTCACATTCACAGCATCCTTTTAACAATTGGTGAATTTAACACAGAAGGAAGCAGAATGACATACTGCATTTATGTACTGAAACGAAAACAAATAAACCTTTCTGTATTAATTTGCCATTCAGCTGATTGAGATTAAGAGCTTCTGCTGTGGTTTAAACAGGCTATTTACGATGTGTATGAATGGAAGCTACCATTAATCTAATCCTGTTACCAAAGTAGCCATTAGAATGGGTTTCCAGTAGAAACAATAAGTACAGTGTTTTTAATCATCATTGTTATCTGTCTAAGGGTGTTGTGTTGTCAGTTTGAAATACAGACTGTGCTCCAGATATATAAGGGCTCCAAATTCTTCTATACGTCTGTGCATTATTAGCCTTTCTTTTTTTTTGGCATAAGCCTACCAGAATGTATAAGTGTTGAACCAAACAGAGATCCCTCTATGTAGGAGAAGGATAGGCAGACCCTTGAGAGGGGTGGAGTCAAGAGAGGAATCAGCCTAGAGTCATTATATTCCCACAAACAGCCGAAGTCGAAACCCTCTTGAATTCCATTAACTCTTATCTAACACCAATTTACTGCTGATCCCTGCCAGAAAACACCAGACAGCATCCTGCTTCTCATGAAAGAAACCATATTATATCGTTTTAAGCTTTTGTGCTTCTATCAGTACAAGGAAAGATTGAAGGCAAACGAGGTCCAGGCAGAAGAAGAACATCATGGCTTCAAAATCTAAGAGACCGGTTTGGGCAAAACTCAACAGCACTTTTTCGTGTGGCTATTGATAAAAATAGGATCGCCAACATGATCGCCAATGTCCAATGACGGATATGGCACAAGAAGAAGAAGATCAGTACACAGTCAGAGTCACTCTCAGTGTGAGATGGACATTACCTAAATTTGATAACCTGTTTAAAATTGAACCAAGAAGATAAGCAGTGAAAATGTAGGGCTTTTTTTAAAATGGAAAGCCAGAAATTAAACCAAAAAGGTCCCTTAAACTAAACTGAGCAAACTACATTCTCTTGATAAAATTTTGGTACGTAGCTGACATGTTCTTATTATATTAGAGAGCCAAGTTTCCTGCATTCAATTAAAATATTTATGGACAAAAACCCTTTGGGAATTCCTGAACAACAATTTGCCAAGACTTACTAGTAACTGACTTGGGAGAAAGATATTATTTTTCATTAGAATATAACAATTGCATTTTCACAGCTAAGGAATGCCTTCTGAAAAGATCTGAGAATTTTAGATTTGTATTAGAAATATAATTAGAAATTAGCCTTGGGGATAAAGGAAACAAAGATAAATGAACAGTTTTAATAACTTGGCTAATATTTAAATCCTATCAAGGCAGAGAATATAAGAATTAGTGTACTTAAACTGTTTCATTTTCTTAAATTAATTTAAAGTGGATATATGTTTTTTAGCTATTCTCTTGATATTATTTTGTATGGACTCACTATATCAAAGCAGCTCACTTAAGCTGATCTGGAACAAAGCAAGGCTACTGCATTTAATTTTCAGGATGTCTAGTGAGGATTTTTTTTTTCTCCAAAAGTGAACCAATAGCAGAAGAGACCGATGAGATCAGGAGCTGCTTCCCCAAGCAGGGAAAAAACCCCAAGCAGGGAATCTGCATCCCAGATCTTACCTGGGTAACTCCAGAGTATCATTCAATTCTGTGAGAAAGATAATAGGTTAAGATCCAGAGTGCCGAAATATTCAGGTTAAAAACAGAAGCTTCTGTGACCTTCTGAACCAATGCAATTCGGTGGTTTAGGAGAGAGTCTTGAACTCTGAGATTGAAAGTTGGCCAGTGGAGATGACCTTCTGTGGGAAGCAACATTCTGTGTCCTCTTGTGAGGAACGGCTAGAATCTTCGTTGCATTGTTTGATTCACTTTGCTTTCTCCTAAATCTTTTCGCACATGAAACATTTTTACAGCTGATCTTTGAACTGTTGCTGGAACTCTGCTTCACACCTGGATGGTTGTTGTTTGGCTAGAAGGAAAACAATTTTCTGCAAATGCCACAGATTCTTTGTGGGGCGTAAGGGCATAAACCTAGTTGTTGAAAGTTTTCTTCCTACGCTTTTCCATGAGCAGCTTCACCCATTAAACATTCTCTTTGCCATAATAACTAAGTGACAGAAGCTCTGCAGAAATTATTTTCCACAGGTATCTTCTGACTTCTAAAGAAACAGGTCCGCTCAACTTCTTTCCTCATTCCACAGCCATCTCGCCTTATGATTTGAATTCACGGGGATTTGATTTTGTTTTGGAAGTCAAAGCCAACACCTTCCTCATCCACAATGATCAGACACACCTTTTATTCGCAGAAGTATAGACAGCTAAGAGAGGAAACAAATGTTTCCGAAAGAAACTGACTTACTAAACTTACAAAGATTCATCAAGAACTCTTTTTCATGGCCCTCAAAACTGGAAGTAGAAATTATGGGTACAAGTTGCAGTGACCTAAATTTTGTTAAATGATAAAGGAAAAACTTTTGGTACTGTTAAGATCTGTATAGCTGCAGATCATTTTGTCTCTGGAGGCTGTGGGTTCTAAATCTCTGGAGGTTTGTAAGAGGCTGAATTCGCCAACTTCAACTGATACTTCAATTGGTTTTCCTATACACTGCTTCAAGGTGCTGGTACTCACCTATAAAGCCCTTCATGGCATGGGCCCGGGGTATTTGCAGGATCACCTCCTACCGGCCTCCCACCGCCCAGTGCGCTCACATAGGGCTGCCCTCCTCCGGGTCCCCTCAGCCAGACAGTGTCGGCTGGTGATCCTCAGGATGAGGGCATTCTCTGTGGTCGCACCGATCCTCTGGAATGGGTTGCCCACCAGGCTCCGGATGGCCCCCGACCTCCGGACCTTCTGCGCCGACCTAAAGACCTAAAGGCTCTTTCAGCAACTTCCCTGATCTGCCATGGATTTGAATTTGGGGATTTTAAATTGGTTTTTAATATTATTTAACTTTATCTATTGTCGGGTTGTTTTATTGTTGTGAGCCGCCCCGAGTCCTACGGGAGAAGAACGGCATATAAATCTGACAAATAAATAAATAAATAAATAAATACATACATACATACATACATACATACATACATACATACACTGCAGAGAGTCAGTCTAGAACATCTTTGAAGTCCCTTCCCACTCTGCAGTTCTGTGGTTCTTTATCTGAGACACTTCCTCCTCTTCTTAATGCCGTGTTAGTTCCAGATGCGTAACGAGAAACTAAGCTGAGCTACAGTGCCATGGCTCCCCACCCCCACCCCAGAAAGACTCAGAAGAGGATCAAATTTTTCACACATCTTCTCCATTTCCCTCACTGGCCTTATTATCACTTCCAGTTTTGCAAGCTGTTTGAGCGAGCACCCACCACATCTTTTAGCTTTCAGAAGGGCATGGATATGAAATCAGGCGAAGTCCTTTCAAACAACTAAGCCAATTCCTTTAGGGAGTTGTGTCATCTATAATACAGCATCATCTTACATAAGACTTCAGAGAACTTCCTTCTCTTGGGGTATTAAAGGCTGACTTCAGGGAGCTGTCTATGGTCCTGACTTTGCTTAAAGGCCTTTAGTTTGATGTATCCCAAAGAGATTCGCCCTGATTACATCCACTGCTCCTTCGAGGCTGAAGGCCTGAGAGAATAGTTTGACAGCCATGAAATAATCATGCCCCATCTTGCAGAAGTCAAACTGTCTGTTTAATTGCAACTCTGAAGCTTTTTGCTTTCAATGCAGTAGAGTTTAGTGTTCTTTTTTTTTTTATTGAAAAAGTTTTCAAATACAAATTTTTCCCCCTTTTTTTCCCCTCTCCCTCCCCCTCCCTAACCCCCCCTCCCCACCCATCCCCCCCTGTGACTTCTTCATAACAAAAAAAAAACCTAATTCATAACAGATTACTTACTCCCTCCTCTAGATATTGACCTTTACTTACTAAAAGTATTATTAATATTATAACATCCCCCTTTATCCATACATATCAAAAAAGAGAAAAGAAAGGAAAAAAAAAAGACATTATACTATGACATTATAGAATAACTTCTCCACTTTAAAACTATACGATAAGTCCTACTTTAACATTTAATCTTCTATATATATTACTATAACATTTCAAAGCGGCCTTCCCCATAAAATCTAGTTTAACATTTATTCCACTCTATCCATTTCCTCCACTCCCCTAAATATAACACTTAAAAATCCCTTTTCTTAGACTAATCAATCTACTAACTAGCTTATTCACCCACTATCAGAGTTTAGTGTTCTTGATCCAGAGTGCAGAGTGCAAACCAGACTGAATAGAGCTAAAATGCGTCAAGTTTGCAATCATGAGTGGCTACTAGCTTGTTTTCGGGTAATTTCCTTTCTTGAGCTATCCCAGTTTGGGTCAGGTACACGCAGATCTCACCTATGGTACAGTGGTCTCCTTCCCATCCAGGGCTGCATTCACATTTTCCATCTTTGCACTTTCCATGCTCCGTGCAGTGAGAGTTGCATGTCCGTTCTTCACAAGTGGGGCCTATCCAACCTTCTTCACACTGGCACACTCCTTTCGCACAAACACCATGCGCGCCGCAATCCAGTGTGCAGAGCTCTGTGAGAAAGCCAAAATGGGAGATCCAGTTATTTAAAGAAATATTTAGAAATTGGGACTGTTTGGTGTAGTAGATAGGTGCTAGCTTAGGTACCAGGAGACTCTAAATTCTAATTCCACCTTAGACACTGGATGATTTTGGGCCAGCCCCCCTCTCTCAGCCCACCTGACAGAGTTATTGTTGTGGTTGAAAATTGGAGGAGGAAGGAGTATTAGGTATGTTTGCTACTTTGAGTTACTTATGAAGTAATAAAAGGTGGGATAAAAATCTAATAAATAAAATATTGAATAGGTTGTTTCCTTGGAATAAGAAAAACAAGTATGGGATGTTTCTGAAGTTGATTCATTTAACCAGCTCTCTAGGAGGTCTACAGGTCAATTTACATCTGTATAGGATTCTTTGAGTGACCAAAAATCAGATAACATCATCTATAAGCAAATTATTATAGTTTATAATTCATACTTTGTAGCAGAAAAAAAAATCCTACTTCTTTAACATTTGCATTATGTTTTCCTCCTTTTCACCTGCCTCAAGGAAGCTGTTTTTCATCTAACAGAGCTTGGGATTCTCAGGAACAAAAATAATGTCACTATATTGAACTCTACATACCTCAGTCTTAAACGCTTTTAAAAGAAACAATGTAAACACATTTTCATGTTCAGATAGTGAAAGAAGGAACAGAAATCACACATACTGGACCGAACCTTGATCTCCATTTAGTCAAGTGTTGACTAAATTGCATATCGGAATTGTATAAAGAAGTTGTTTCAGTAAATGTGAATTGTATCCTAACAATTCACATTCACATCCTAACAAACAGACAAGATGAGACACACTTTCAACCATCTATGGGCACAATCCAGCCAAAATCTGACTCCCACGTTTCTAAAAACTGGGTGTAATGGAACTATTAAAATGAGAGTGCTGGTAAATGCCTGATGTCCTAACCTCCAAGGAAATAAATTTGGTCTAGTGGTTAAGCTACCTTGCTAGAAACCAGGAAACTGAGTTCCGGTGCCACTTTAGACATGAAAGCTACCTGGGTGACTTTAGGCTAATTATCAGGAGGTGGTGAGTTCTAGTCCCACCTTAGGCACCAAAGCCAGCTGGGTGAATTTGGGCCAATCACCAGGAGGTGGTGAGTTCTAGTCCCACTTTAAGCCTGAAAGCTGATTGGATGATTTTGGGTCAGTGCACAGGGATGTTGTTGTGAGGAAGACAGGGAGAAAAAGATATCTTGGGTATGCTTGCCACTTTGAATTATTTATATAAATATATTTATATAAAAAAAATAAAGGCGGGGTAAAAACATATCTTAAAAAACATAAAGATTAACTTAAAGATTTGCAAGATCCATGGCCTTTTCAGAGCAACATTTCCTGCAGAAAAATCAGTGGGATATAAAATCCCTATTACAATGTAAAAGGTGAAGCATAAATGTATCCTTTATGTTAAAAAACAAATCTGTTTTCGCCAACCTCCTTGTTGGTGTAAGTCTAGTCGCTGATCCTGAAATTTAATTTATTTTGCCTCTGGGAGGCCTACTCGGATCCCACCATGTAGGGTTCCTGTCAGTGTTATTAGCATGGTAGGAGGCTTTAATTGGTTGAATGATTGATTATTCCATTAAAACTTTACAGTAATTAATCAATAGGGGGCAATTTGGTCTGGATGTTTGTGAATTAAGGGCCCTCCTGTTTTACTTTGGAGGCCATTCTTCTTTGTTACTTAAAAGGGAACAAGCTAAAATGTTTTAAAGACAATCTTCCCTTCAAAAAAAAGAAGCATTGCCCACTTTTTAGGTTGCCCATTATCTGAAAGAGAGGTGAATAAAGTTGCAGCCCGGAGCACGTTATATTTTTGGTTTAAACCAGGGGTGAAATCCAGCAGGTTCTGACAGGTTCCGGTAGCGGAAATTTTGAGCAGTATGGAGAACTGGCAAATACCACCTCTGACTGGCGCCAGAGTGGGGAGGGAATGGAGATTTTGCAATATCCTTCCCTTGGAGTGTGGTGGGAATGGAGGTTTTGCAGTATCCTTCCCCTGTCACACCCACCAAGCCACACCATGCCCATCAAGCCACGCCTACAGAACCGGTAGTAAAAAAAAATTGGATTTCACCACTGGTTTAAATCGATCAAGTTGCTGCATTAAAACTTCTTGCGATGGGGCTGAGTCGGTGAATCCAATATTTTAATCAGTGAAAGCAAATGTTTAGTTGATTAACCAGCTGATTAAAGCTTAATGCATGCAATGTTAAATATAAAGTAAACAACCCTAAATAAGCTTCACAGCACAATTCAGCTTCATTTCCCAGTAATTATCAGGTTTTTTAAAACTTTAAACTGTCAGAAAACTATGTTCAGATACAGCTGTAAACCACAAGCTAAAAAAACAACATCTGTTAGTTTCAAGAGGCAGTTTCTAGGAACTTTCTCTTCCTCATCAAAAAGGGGATCACAATTACGCTTTCTCATTTACATGAGCAAAAACTCATATGCATACCCCTTTGTTGTTAGATGTTTCTACAAAACCTGTTACCGGGTGCAGTTTTTTTTTTTTAACAAGGCAGCTCAATTGCAATGCAAATGAAAAGTGATAATGATATTTAAGACGCTGACAGTTGTAGCTTTCTCTGGGGTTCATTTGGATTTTAGGGATCATAAGCAGCAACATTAATTGAAATTGAGAAATATCATTTGATATGTCAGAACGGAACAGAATAGTCCAACCAGAATAGTCCTCTTCTAGACCAACCTCCTGCTCAGGCAGGAAACCGTATACCATTTCAGACAAATGGTTGTCCAATCTCTTCTTAAAAAACCTCCAGTGTTGAAGCATCCACAACTTCTGGAGGCAAGTCGTTCCACTGGTGAATTGTTCTCGCTGTCAGGAAATTTCTCCTTAGTTTTAGGTTGCTTCTCTCCTTGATTAGTTTCCATCCATTGCTTCTTGTTCTATCTTCAGGTGCTTTGGAGAACAGGTTGACCTCCTCTTCTTTGTGGCAGCTCCTCAAATATTGGAACACTGCTATCATGGCACCCCTAGTCCTTCTTTTCTTTAAACTAGGTAAAAGTAAAGGTTCCCCTTGCACATATGTGCTAGTCGTTCCCAACTCTAGAGAGTGGTGCTCATCTCCGTTTCAAAGCCGAAGAACCAGAGCTGTCCGAAGACGTCTCTGTGGTCATGGGGCCGGCATGACTAAATGCCAAAGGGGCATAGAATGCTGTTACCTTCCCACCAAAGGTGGTCCCTATTTGTCTACTTGCATTTTTTACCTGCTTTTGAACTGCTAGGTTGGCAGAAGCTGGGACACGTAACGGGAGCTCACCCCATTATGCGGCACTAAGGATTCGAACCACTGAACTGCCAACCTTTCGATCGACAAGCTCAGTGTTTTAGCCTCTGAGCCACCACATCCCTTTTTTTCTTTAAACTAGACATACTCAATTTCAGCAACAGTTCTTTATATGTTTTAGCCTCCAGTCCCCTAATCATCTTGTTTGCTCTTCTCTGCACTCTTTCTAGAGTCCCCACATCTTTTTTACATTGTGGTGACCAAAACTACATGCAGTATTCCAAGTGTGGCCTTACCAAGACATTATAAAGTGGTATTAACACTTCATGATCTTGATTCTATCCCTCTGTTTATACAGCCTAAGACTGTGTTGGCTTTTTTGGCAGCTGCAGCACACGGCTGGCTCATATTTAAACGGTTGCCCACTAGGACTCCAAGATCCCTCATGTCATTAAATTAAATTAAATAAATAAATGTCTTTTCAGAACTGCATTAATATAATGCACTGTACAGCTAGTCCTCAACTTACAATCATTCATTTAGTGACCATTTGAAGTTGCAACAGCACTGAAAAAAAGTGATTTACAACTGGTCTTTGCACTTACGACTATAGTAATATCCCCATGTTCACATGATAAAAATATAGGTGCTTGACAACTGCTATGCTTTTACAATGCTTGCAGTGTCCTGTGAGTTTCTGACAAGCAAAATCAGTGGGGGAAAAGTCAGATTTGCTTAATGACCACATGATTCACTTAACAACTGCAATGATTTGCTTAACAACCAGGGCAAAAAAGCTTGTAAAATTGGGTGCAACTACTTTGGTGAGTACTGTTGTGGTGCGGTGCTTAGAATGCAGTATTGCAGGTAACTTTGTCCACTGCCAGGAGTTCGATCCTGGCTGGCTCAAGGAACTCAGCCTTCCATCCTTCCGAGGTCAGTAAAATGAGGATCCAGACTGTTTGGGGGCAATATGCTGACTCTGTAAACCGCTTAGGGCACTATGAAGTGGTCTAAGTGCGATTCTGCTTAGCAACAGAAATTCAGATCCCAATTATGGTTGAAAATAAAGGATTACCTGCAATCAAATACAGGACAGCACTAACCTTAAGCATGGACTTTATTTGAAGTAACATGGACAGGACTGGAAATTTACTCTTTTTAAAAATGCATCCTATATTAGTCATTTCTGTTAGCAGAATGTACCATCTTTATAATTCGAAACTTGAGGAAATGAATGCGGCATCAGCATACCTTGCCTGTTTCCTGACACAGAATGATTTCATTTTTTCTGGATTTCTATCTTGGTTATGTCAGCAAGTTTGCTGTTGACTTGTAAGGCCCTTTCCCTTCACCTGCTGCACTAACGTAATGCAATGTTTGCTGTACTAACATATGAAGCGTTGCTAGGCTCTGCTTCACTCTTGGCTGGTTGTTGCTTGGCTAGAAGGAAGACACTTGTCTGCAGGTACAGTGATTTATTTGTGTAAAAAGGGGAAATACAGAAGATAAAAGCGTTCTTGCCATTCCTTTCCGTGAACACAGTAACAGAATAACAGAGTTGGAAGGCACCTTGGAGGTCATCTAGTCCAACCCCCTGCTCAACAGAAGACTCTATACTACTTCAGACAAATGGCTGTCCAGTCTCTTCTTAAAAGTCTCCAGGGATGGAGCACCCAGAACTTCTAAAGGCAAGCCATT